CGGTTTTCTAACCGTCGCATTGTTTCCATGGATGATGAATTTTAACGGAAATTTTAGCATTGGCACACATGCATTTAGGAGGAGCACAACCATCAAATTAGCATCGAGTAATAAAAATCACCATGAAATAAAATCAGAGCTGCAATGTGGATTTCATTTGTATTTCTTATAATGGAATTCACCCTTCTGTTTATACTATTTAATGTGGATGAAGTTTTGCAAAGTGAGTTCATGGCCATGCGGATCAGTGCGCAAATGAAATGATTTGCCAGCCGTTATATGCCTATCGAATTAAAAATGAACGTTGGATTTGTTCTGTTTTGAAAATCTCATTCTCTCACATTTAATATGAATCACATCATAAAGTAGCAACGAATAGATGTTCGACTGGCAAATACATTTTCGACTCACCAGATTGAACCGGTGCGTCCAACACACACAGCCTGTGTTTTTACCCAATGTAATCTGTGTTTTTTTTCATTCTCTAAACGAAATGTGCGTGTGAAATCCTGTTCGCAGCAAAATCGCGGGATAAATATGATATAAATAAAAAACAGCAACGCACAGACCCTTCTTTTTTTTTCTTCTAGCAAGTCCTCTCCGTTGCTAATGGTTGACTTGACGTGAATAAAAGCGAAAATATTTGGCTGTAGTGTGTGTTTCATGTGCGGTGTTTGAAGCTAGTTCAACATGCGCATTGCGCATACGTGAGCACTTTAGCTACAATGAATGACACTGTATTTTCCGTTGGACAGATATTCGGGCCCGGCAATTCGGCGCTTCGGAAGTTGTGAAATATGAAGGGCTCATTGTATTTAGGGTAAATTGAATTTGGTGCACCTTGAACAGCGGTCTTCATTTCTCTCTCTCTCTCTCTCTCTCTCTCTCTCTCTTGCTCTCCCTGTTGATTCGCGCAGCATCATCGAAACCATGAGAACAAAGATTAAATTTGGTTCCGATGCATTTTCTACGGCGGCTGTGTGTTACATCGACAAAATTCGGAACCAGTATTTGCTGGTACTCACATGCCTCACCGTGGCATGTCGTTCATTAGGGAGGAGAGAGGAAAATAGAGATTTCTCGACTTCATCCCATAGAAATGCATGGGAAATACGGCATCTACGCGCTGACTATCGTTGTCGAGGGCTTTTGTAATAATTATATTTTTAGAATGCCTGTGAATTCCATGTGAACATTGTGTGATTTCGTTATTTCATCTGCCGCGCAACATACACAAACACCGGTGTGTGATGTGCAATTATTGTGCAGCTATCACGATTTCACTTCTCTTGAACGGGAGCGACCAAGATGCAAGATGTGTGCTGCTATTGAATGGATCCGTTTGAATTACACGTGAAACATCGAAGCAATTGCCATCGTTGTCGTCGTCACACCGAACCCCAAATACATTTTGACGCTCATTTAAATGGAAATAATAACACAAATCAACTACGATTCTAAAAATACCGAAGAAGAGGAACGAAGAAAATTAAAACCTGAAACCATTTAAGCATTTTAGTTGATCACGTATGCCACAACTAGGTGGAAAACTTGCTAACTGCGACATGTACATGCCTGTGTCGTACACATCGCCACGGAATTCAGTGCTCATAACAATAATTTGTGCTGGAAATGGAAGTGAATTTCCTTTATTTTCGGCTTGACTCTCATGTGAATTACTCGAACGGCGGGTTCAATGCAGGTGTGCTGCACTTGGAACCTTCAGACTTGGTTCAAAGTCGATTCAAAGTGAGATATTTTGCCAAGTTCAAAGTACTCTGCAAGTAAATTGCATGCGAAAACAAACACATCAATTTGACTGCTGACTAAACGATTGGTAACTGGTTGAGGAAAAAACTCTTCAGGTTTCTTAGTCAATCCAAGCCTGACTTGATTTTAACTGAAATGAGCTGAAAGTCTCGAGAGAAACAAAAAACTCCGATTAACAAAAAAAATCGTATTTTTTTGACTAGTCTTGAAAAAAGCAAAGAATAAATTGAAAACACCCAATTTTAGAAGAACAAACTCGACTTTTGTTCACCAGAAGCGTTTCAAAATGGAATTTGATTCTGAATGCAATCTCGAAATGATTTATAAAGAATTAAGATTTATGTGATTTAAAACGATTGTCGATTGCCATTGTTGACCACTTGTGCCGCCGAGCCGAAGGATCCGATGTGGATTCAACATTTTATGAAAGAATTTTTCTGAGTTTTCAACAAACTAATCCGATAAATGCTTATCGATACACGAACTTGAATACGGTCAATTCACGTGAATCCATTGATCTGATGTAACAAAATCACACATCGATTCGATCGATAGAAGAAACGATCGTCTCAAAATTGAATCAATTTCGTTTCACAAATGTGAATTTTTCAAACAAACAAACGAGAAAAAGGGAAATTTATGAATAAAAAAGCAATATCGTGTAACGCAATATTGTGAATGAAAGAAAATTTTTCCGTGTCAATATATCAAATATCCGAGGCAAGGATAAGGATTGATATAATTCATGAGATCGTATTTGTAGCCACACACACGCACAACAATCGATTCTTTTTTCAACTTGATCTTCTGGATTTGATTGTTTCACACACACACAAGATTTTGCCCGAGCATGAAGGTGAATGCGGAGATGGAGTTTATGTAGAAAACATGTTGAAATGACGGAATTCACAAAAACGAAATCCATACACTTGTTGTGTGCTCTCTAAAAAAAATGTCCATTGTTTTCATATTCATTTTGTCGAACGAAATTTTTTTTCTTCTGTTATTTATATGTTTCAGGTTTGATCTATGTCTGTGCTCATGTGAATTCGGTTTTTTTTCCTGAATATATTCAAAGAAGAAGAAAAATCTGAAAAAGAAGAAGAAATAGTTCAGTTTTGTGAATTTTTTTCGGTCATTTCGTTTTGTCGTCATGTTTGCCAACTTGAAATTCGAGAGCAGGAACAACGAAACCGAAGAGCGAGACAGAGAAAGAGAGAGAGAGAGAGAGAGAGAGAGAGAGAAGAAGATGCGAACAACGCATAAAAGGATTTAAAAGAAACTTATTATTATTTGATGCTTTATTTACCTGCTCTACAGGACAATCCACAAACATTATAACTGAATAAGCATTCAGCCAATGCAAAAGCGAATGGCAAAAACCAGAACATCACATTTGAATCAATGTGAAACAACAAAAAAACGAAAGAGACGGAGATAGAGAGAGAGAGAGAGAAAAAACCAAATCAATTTGAGATATCTACAAAGTTGGGTACAAAAATTAAATTTTTCTCATCGTTTCTGATGCATCGAAACTAAATCCAATGGAATTTTCTTTGTTTTCGCACTGTTTTTTCCTCCTCTCTCACTCTATCGTTCGTTCGTTTGCTGTTGTATTTATTTTTTTTACTGAAAACAAATACTCAGAATTTGATTCTATTCCCATGCACTTGTTTCCATGATAACAATAAAGTATCTCGATTTTGCGAAAAATGACACAGAGGAAAAGAATATGTGCACTGGTTGTGTTCCTTCTGTAGAAATCAGTTCTAGTTCTTTTGTGTGATTGATTTCTCATTTTGTTGTTTTCGATGATTTTTTTGGTTTTAAACCTTTTTTCAAGTTTTTTTTTCGCCTTTTCTCTCGGTGCGGTGCGCTCGGTGCGAACCAATCGAACTACTTTCTCACGGAGTTCGATTTAATTCGTTATCGACATTTTTTTTTCATTCTGTACAAACAACAAAGTAACTATTTCCAATTTCATTTTCGTGTCACTTTCTCATTTTGTGGCATTTTCAGCGAGAAATAATTGCCGGAATAGATACCGATGACAACGGCAACGACCATAAATGCGATATCTCAACAGCTCAAAGGAAATTGGATTGCATTTTTGGTCGGTTTTCGCTTACAATGTGAAAATTGAAATGAAAGAAAGTGAAGTCGATGTGAATACACTTTTATGATCGTTTCAGTTTCGGCATTTACCTTGACTAACATGCTGAGTGTGTGTGTGCATCGATTAAAACACATATACATAGATTTCATCAAAATCGATAGAGAAAACAAATGATAAATTGGCATTTTTGTAGGGGAAACCAACTAAATATACCAATGTGCATTTTCTGCATTCCCACGGTGCGTTGCCGAAAATATTCAAAAAATTTCCCGAAAAAAAAACAAGCAACAACCATCAACTTGAATAAATTTTTATATTGCGTCAAGGGAACAACAAACAAAAGATATCGTTCACATCGGGTGTAACGGTGAACAACAGTCTTCATTATATTATTAGTACTAACATCTGCAAGTTTCCGATTTACTATTATGCCCAAGCCGTTGGTAATTGTCGCATTGAATCACTGTGACGGCGCTTTGGCTATAAATAAATTGAAGAAAATCAAAATGAATACGTATGTTCCGTTCGGATCTCCCCCTCTCGTTGCCTTGCCCTCTACGTATAAATCTTTTTAGGTTTCTATTTACTTTAACACGATAAACAAATGCACAAAATGGAATTCCGAAACACAAAGTCGAACATTTATTTTGTGATATAATGATTCTCATGACGACGACTACGACGATCGCGATCCAACAATTTTGGCAATGAAAATCCATTTGAAAGAAAACACTTTTCGAATTCGTGAGAAACTGTTTCGAGTGTGAGTCACAACTTTTTAACTTTTACTTTAATTAATTGTGATCGATGTTGAGCTTGGAACGCGGCTCACACACACACACACACACATACATCAAGTACACGCATTTACTTACAGTCAACATCAAATAGGTCACAATGATTACATGCAATGGATTTTATCGTTCGCATATTTGCACCTGTAATTTAACGTAGTTTGGTTGTCAAAATCAATTAAAATCACTTGTTCAACTCTTTAAGGCAATGTGATTTGCATTTGAAATGTCAAGTTCAGTCGATTTCCATATCATCATGACTGGGTATATATATTCCATCGGAATCGAAGTACTTTGAGTTTGTGATTTGAAAGAGTCGGTACAACGCTTGGTTTCTCAGTTACATTTTCTCCTGAGTTTAAATTGTTCGAAGCAGTAAACAACATGAACATTAGTTTCTATCATGGGCTCTTATGTGCCCTGATTCTTCTCGGAACAGACAGCATTTTTGGTACATTTCAAAAGAAAATGAAATTCAATTTTTCGTAAATTTTCCTAAGAAAACGAAAATTTCAATGAATTGCTGAAAAGATCGTTTTGCAAATCATTTGATGGTGATCTTTTGAAATAAAATATACTTTTTTCTACCTTTTCCCGTTTTTTTTTTCTAGTTTTTGGTGACGAATTGAATGACATCCAGCTAAATGATGGTTCAGCTCAAAGTGACATCAGTCGTGGCTTACCAACCGTTTCGTCTGCTTATCCAACTGAAGGATTGCCGTACGGATCGCCGGGTGAGAAGCCAACGCTATACTTGGGTTCGTTTCAAATTCTTGCGATGCCATTTTCACCGGGCCATTTACCGCCGAATTTCGCTGCTATTCCAACCCAATGGTCGCCACCATCAAAAAAGGATTAAGTTATCGTAAAAATATCATGTGATCGAAAATGTATTGTGAATGTCAAAGTATTCGGCAATAAATACTTCCTTTGGCAATTGTTTGATTTGCATTTCGACGGTCATAAAATGGAATTGTGCAACAACAGGCAACAAAAGAGCAGAATTGTGTAAATAAATTTTCGTTTTTGGTATTGAAGTTTGACAGGAAAATTTATTTGATTTTTGTATGAAATGAATGCTGCTTGAGTTAGTCAATATAATCCGATCTTCCTGTGGTCTCTTTGTTCTTTTCTTTGACTGGAGAGATTATTTCTTAGAGTGAACGAGAACGGTATTCGTCACCCCAACGAAACATCGATAAAGTACAACAACCGAATCGAAAAACGAAGAAAAACTGCACACGAGTGCACTATGAACGATTGCGTGGCAGCTGCAGTTTACGATTCATTGTGATCACTTTGTGTGATTTCCAGAACACGGTTTCATTTTGACTCTCGAAGAAAGAAACGAATAATTTCGTTGTCTTTTGATCGCAATCGATTTGGTGGAACAGAAAGAGATTCATCGAACGGAATGCGATTTTTTTTTACGATCGTCGAGGTCATTGAAAATGCATCGACAACGACAACGCACCGATTTCGTTGTTTCATTATTTGTGCGCGCAAAATTTATTTTTTTTTTACCGTGGAAGAATAAAATAAAGTAATTCTGCATCTCATTATAATTTATACTTTTATTTTGTTCGGTCGGTTACGTTCTTCACCTCATATTCGTTTTTATTTATCATTCGAAATGAACTACAGCAACTGGCACGAACAAGATAAACTCGGAACGCATGAATTATGAACATGAGCATGACAGTGTGGTGTGGAAGCTATTTGAAAATGGTATGCACTGCGCATTCCAAACCGAAATGATGAAGAAAGTGATTTTGCAAATTTATGTTGTGAATTCTGAAAATTGTGAACTGTAAACAATTTATCGTATTGGGTCGGCGCGAGTGCAAGCTCATTTTTTCGGCCATTCCATTATTTTACGCGTGGATTTTTTCTTCTTTTGTGCAGCTTTGTGTGCGCTCGGTGTTATGGTTTGGCCATCAGATCAACAAATGAACAAAATTGCTATAATGTAGTTTTTTTCGTCGGTCTTTGGTTTGTATTCGATTCCGTTCGTTCGTTCGTTCTTTCGTTGTTTTCTTGCATTTTCAGGTTGCAGTGTGCTGTTGAGCTGCATGGATCGGGTGTGAAATGTGATACGATGTCATTTCCATGGGATACGCTCATTAAGTGTGACGTATGTGCGCATTGCCCAGCCAAAAATCCACACTAAAATGCACTACATTGTAAAGCGCAATAAAATGATGTTTGCGAACACTTTTGTTTCGTCTTCTGCAAATTCTCTTTCTCGTTGTTTTTTCCTCCTCGTTCGCACTTGAACGTGCGTTGGTATTTTTCTCGCCTGAAAATATGTTCAGTGTTTTTTTTTTCGTTGGCTCAAGAGGAACTGAGAGCCAAAAAAACCGCACTCATTTTCGGCTGAATATACAAATTATTGGGTGAGATGAGTGTTTTTCACTCTTGGCTACAAGAATGACCAAAAACAGAGAAACAGAGCGTAAATGGTTTGAATTTCATTGTGCGTTACGCAGACGAAGAAGACGAAAAACACCGAAATGACATCAAATAAGAAACGCACCACGCTCATTCTGGGGCCAATTCTTCGTTTTGCGTTGCTCGAACAACATGTGAATGCTCACTTGACATTGATGATACTTGATATAGACGGAACGAAAAAATTAAGAGACCAAGCAAAAGGAAGGCAAGCGTACGCTCAACAAAAAAACAACACAAGACTCAAGGAGAAATTATGAATTCAATCCACTTGTCGCTTTCTTGAATTTATCACGCGACAAAACCAAATAAAATGTGTTGCAGCTCTTGTTTTGGTGCGGTTTTTTTGTCTTCACCAAATTTCTCTTTTTGCCAGTTCATCTTCTTGCTATCAGAAAGTGTGTTGGAGTAATTTGATATGCTCATCCGTTTGTCTACCATTCAACTACTGGTCGCTTCATTGCTTTGGTTCGAGGCGATTTTCTTCTTCGCAATGTGCCCTTTTGGCCAAAGATTGAGGTCAACAGACGATGCTGTTATAAAAATTGATCCAAATTCAATGTATCGGATTTAAATATCGAACCGTTCTAAAAACGAGTCTTTTTTTCCAGTAAATCTGAACGATTTGCCATTTTGTCATTTTTTCCACTCCCTTTCTCTATCTATCTATCTCTCTATCTATTTCGCTCTATTACTTAATCGAATTTCATCATTCTAAGTGACTCTGCCGTCGATTACATCATAAAATGGTGCCATTCCAAATGAAAGTGGTGAAAATGCATACACGATTCCGACCTAAAAGCCATTTAAAGTCACATTTTCAGAGCCACATAATCAATGATCCGACACACGGGCACATTTATTTTACACGCTCGATTATTACATGTTTTTCTTGCATACTTCAGATTAAGTACAATTTGTATTGAAAATGATCGTGAAATTGAAACATTTTTTAATAAATGTGAGCCGAGTTAAGGAAGTCACCGTCGAAGCCATAAATAAATCGAGTTGAATAAATTGAATAAAAAAATATTGCCAAGATGCTGACATTTTTCTCCCTTTTGTTGCTGCACTCCTCTATCATTCTTGCTTAACTCTCAGTATCATTGCTTGAAAATTTATTCATTTTATTGAAATGAACAGGCGAAGAAAATGAAAAACAAAATTCCAGCGAGCGAATAAAAAAAGAGCGATCGCTTGTGTTTATTGCTAACTCGGCAGCCCATAAGAAACTTTCAAATCAGCAATATATTTTTTTTTGCTCATTTTATGACTCATGATTATTTTGGTTCTTTCCATTTTTTCTTCACGCCGATTAAATTCGATTTTTACATAATCAACGAGTGTTTTATACGAGCACGTAGCATGAACAAAACAAAAATCCGCATGCAAATTGTAGAACAATGAAACGGCCCGTAATCAGAAGGTGTTTCATATCGCACCAAGTGGCGACAGAAGTGCGCCCAAGCAAATTTGCCAAAACGAACGCGAGCGAAGAGAGGGAAAACGAGCAAAAAAAAAACGTTGAAATGATTATTTATGATTGGATTTCTTATTGAATTGTTTGTTGATCGATTCCTCGCGTATTTTTCATCGTTTGTAACGGACGGATGCGAGTGAGAGACAATGCACGATGCGATCGTCCATTCTTATAAAATGACCTCGTTAAACAAAAAGTTATCTCGTTGGAGGTTGCTTGGACGATTTATGCGCACCAAAGTCACAGATCAAAGTGTGAAAATATTTATAATTATCTGGAAATTTATATTTTGTTCACCAGTTTTTGATTTGGCTTCGTTTCATTTGAAACATTGGACCACGCGTACGTTGAGCGATGAAAAGAGAAAAAGACGGGCACAGTACGAAAAGGGCAAAGTGAATTCCAGCATTATTGGTTCAATTTATTTTTTTTAAAAAACCATCGAGACATGTTTTTCTTGCTTCGATTTTATAGTTCTTTAAAATGTTATCACTCAAATAGCAGCAATCTTGCTCTCGATTTGTGGATTCGTGACTCTCCGTTTTCAAACCGTGACACAGTCACAATTTTTCCAAGGCGTAAACAAAACGAAACGAGAGAAAAGTGAAAATAGAAACTGGAGCGCCGTTGCACGATCAGCTGCCAACTCATATCGCACGGTTTTTCTTTCACCAACAGCAAAACTGTGATGGTTCTAACCCTCGCTCTCATTATATCCGATTGTGATCTTTCAAACGTTCGGAACATTTCTTGCGCTCATGGCTCGGTCGGTCGGGAGTGTAAATTAATACATGTTCTGCGAAAGGTGTGCGAACAGCACCATCCATTCCATAGCGCAGATAAATGCTGTTAAATTGTGTTTTTCAACGTTGTGTTGCCCGTTTGAAGAACGTATCACACCAGCTGTTCGGGCTAGCGCAAACAGACCAACCCATTGGCATGCTGAAAACTTCATCTAGCGCGTGCATCCGTTCTTACGTTGTCAATGAACTAGACGAATTTTAAATAGAAATAAAGAAAACCTAGTAAAAGGTTCAGTGTAACCATCCAACAACAAACACACACACACAAACCGCACCAAATTAGGCGTTCGAATGAAGTGATTGATATATTGCCAGTTGGTTCATTTCATATCGCAATGTGCGCTCTACATTCGAAGAACAGTGTAAATAAGGAAGTGTTGTAAGTGTGGACACACCGAATCTCAACCCCATTAGGAAGTAAACCATTTTCAAACTGCTGCTGAACAGTTTTTCATTATTTCAGACAAATTCAGATGCCAGAGATAACCATCTGCATAAGAATGTAAGAATGTTACATTGTCGCGTTCGAAACGATTGAGCGACACTCATTTCATGGAACTGGTTTAAACATCATTGACGCAAGTTAACGTCACGCAACATCCACTGAAATAAGAACAGCGCGAAAATCCACTTCGTTTCCTCACATGTGCCACAAAATAGCGTCGCTTATTAAGAGTTATCATATTTTAATTTTCGACTCATTTTTCCCCTTCTACCGAATGATTAGACGACGGTTTGAACGGAAGAAAAAGAAACAGTTGAACAACCAACATTTTAAATGTCTCATTTAATATGGGCATGAATCATCTGCTGATTTAATCGTTTCCTTTTGAAAGCATCAATTAAGATAATTGCGCGGATTATTTTCAAATCATTCGTCTCTCGAATATTGCCTCATTAAAAAAAAAACGATTCCAATCAGTTTTCTTTCTTTTCGCCTCCACTGAAATGAAAAATCAATAAAACATAAAAAAATATGGATTAATTCTCGGCTTTGAATCAGTATTTTTGTTTAATTTAAATCAATTATGTGGAAATCAAAATTCTTTTGACGCGCAATAAAAAATTTTTTCAATAGAATTTTTTATACAAGCCATAACCTCCGATTCCAATATCAATTCAAAACTCATAAAAAAATCAACATGTTCCCTTTGCCCAATAGTAATAAAAAAGGTTTAAAAATTGTGGTGCATTTGTGTTTATGTAGGTTATTCAGTCAATTCCACAATAATAAACTGCGTTTATTTGGTTCGTCC